TATATTTCCTTTCAACTTCAATGTGGTGGTGTACAGAGGCCAAATGCCAAAACAGTTATCATTGTTCCAATATTTCTGGTCCTGACTCTATTCTACAGCAAAAGAAAGGATTAACCAGAAGGAGGATAGCTTTCTAGCAGTGTCCAGAAGGATGTAAACATAAGGCTTTCTTCAGGAAATTGAAAGTCTGTCCTAGTGAGACAAAAAGGAGCACACATTGTGGCAGAGAAAGTGTAAGATAAAGAAAAGTGTATGCAAAGGAACAGAATGAATGGATTTGAGCATGTGGCAAAAAAACATAAAGGGGAATAATTATTTCTTTGAATGTATTTGAAGTGGAAAACCGGATAGGGAAATAGTTGAGCCATTGGATATGGAACAGATATATGAGCCTGTACTGGGGTAAGGATCAGAACAACTAAAACCAAATTGAGATAACATTTGAGAATATTCTAGGATCTCTTGAGAGACTATATTGTAACAAATGACTGGGTTGGGATGACTCAAATGTAAAATTGCTGATCTAGCAAAAAATTGTAGTTTGTCACTCAAATCAGACTCAATAACAGAGGATGGGAAGGTAGGTAATGTGACTTTAAAAAGACGTGGGGGAGAGCCAGGAAATAATAGGCCAATCAGTTTAATTTCTCTTCTAGGCAATTGGTAAAAATAGTAATCAAAGAAAAAAAAAGTAGATTGACAGAGGAACAAGACTTGATGAAGGAAAATCAGCATGGATTCTTCAAAGATAAATCCAACCTTGCCAGCCTTTTGGAATTTTTTGCAAGTTTCAGCTGGCACATGGCTGGAAGTCATCCTGACAACATTCTACACTTAGATTTTCAAAAGTCCTGGGTCAAACTTCCTCATGAAGGCTTTTCACCAAGCTTAGCAGCCTTTGCATGGGAAGAGAGAACCTGTCTTTTTATGGGTTGCAAATGGTATAAAGAGCGGATAGCAAGATAAGAATACAGGTAGTCCTCATTTAGTAACTGCCTCATTTAGTGACCGTTTGCAGTTACAACTGTGATGAAAAATTAACTTTATGCAGTCCTCACATTTATGACCTTCACAGGTTTGTAAAGCAAAGGAAAGCTGAAGATCTTACTTTACTTACTTAGTGACAGCTTTGCTTAATGACTGAGTTGCTGATCCCAATTGTCACTAAATGAGGACTACTTGTAGGCAGTTTTCACAATGGAGTGAAGAAGTGGAGTTCCTTAAGGGTCTTTGATGGTTGGGACCAGTACTTTTTAACTTGTCGATAAATGATCTTGATTTAGAGACAAGCAATGAGCTGGCTAAATTTGCAGATTATGTTATATTATACAGGATGGTAAAACACCAAAGGGATTGTGAAGAGCTCTAGAAGGTTTTCTCTGAATTGTGAGAATGCTCAACCAAATGGCAAATACAATTCAGTTCAAGTAAGTATAATACAGTATGTTGTACATGAGAGCCAGTTTGATGTAGTGGTTAAGCACTAGGCTAGAAACCAGGAGAGTGAGTTCTAATCTTGCCTTAGGTATGAAGCCAGTTGGGTGACATTGGGCCAGTCACTCTCTGTCAGCCCTAGGAGGAAGACAATGGCAAACCATTTCTGAAAATGTTACCAAGAAAACTGCACGGACTTGTGCAGGAAGTCACCATGAGTCAAGACTGGCTCAAAGGCACACACACATGAAAGTTGTACATGTAGCCAAAAATCTTTATCTATATATTAATGGGCTGTGAGATGGATAGCTCAATGACAGTGTCAACCCCATGTGTGCTATCTTTCACGTTAGCATGGCAAATTCCATGCCAGGGATTAATAGGAAAATAAAAATTCCTTTTTGCAAAAGTATGACACGTATATAGAGTACTGTATACAGTTGTAATCACCGCACTTGAAAAAAAATATAATAAGAGCTGGAAAGAAGTGCAGAAGAGGGCAAATAAAACTATCATGGGCTGAAAGATCTTCCTTATGAGAAAAGGTATTTGAGAACTCTTTAGCTTGGAAAAAAGGCAAGCAGGGAAACATGATCAAGACATATAAAATCATGCATGGAGAGGTTTTTCTCCCTCTCTCAAAACACTAGAACTAGGAACCAGTGAAGCTGACTGGAAAGATATTTAAAACAAAAAGAAAAAAAAATTCACATGAGTAACCAGCTTGTTAGAGTTATCAACATACCTGGTGTGAGATTGGAAATTTGTGGAGGACAGCGCCGACAAAGGCTATTGTTCCTGAAGATTCAGTGTTGCCTCCCAAGTAGGGCAACCTATCCCCCCAGTTGAAGGGAAATAGTGATGGGAGGGGGATATATTTCTACTTGCAAGTATCTCAAAACCCATCTAGCTTTGCAGTGAGAAACAAATTGTTGGATTAACACTGACTTTGGCCTGATCTAGCAGCACTGTTTTGGAAGGGGAGAACAATAAATACTGTGTGAATTAAAGAAGCGAGGAAAATTAAAATTGCAGCAAATATAGAAATGTGTTTGCTAGCTAACTTCGCGTTCTTTGCAGCTGCGGTCTTATGCACATTTAACTGGAAAGAATTCCTATTAAGCTCATTGGAACTCATCTCCAAATAAAGATGGATAAGGTAGAAACGTGCGCTACGGATTCCAAGGAATTTACACCCTTGGCTTCCTCCCCCACTTTTCCTACTGCCTCATGCGCCTTGACCACGGGGACGACGAGTCAGTAACCCTTATTACTCTTCATCTACAGTTGCAAGTCGAGGAGGTGGGCGGAACCCAGTCTATACCCACTTTTACTCCCGGAAAACCAAGCGTGTGCCGCTGTCCAATCCTCGCGCTTCCTAGCAAATAGTCCGACCTCCATTGTGACGAGTACGCTGGCTGTCGATTGGCTAAGGACCCCGTCCTTCTCCCATGCCTCTTTGCTGGTAGAGCCGGGCCGGTAGGGTCGCGGATGGAAAGGCGAGTTCTACTAGGTGAGGGATCTAGTTTGGTGAGTGTCGCCTTCTTTCTGCGCTCGCTTTGCTCAGGCGCTCGTGGGGACTCGGGTGAGGGGTAGAGACGTTCTTCCTGCTGTTTCGCCCTGCCGCTTGCTTGCTTTAACCTGAGAGGAATTGAGGTAGGTTTTTTTTTTAATGAAATGGGCGCCGCCCAGTGCCCCTTCTTTTTCTGGCGGTCATGAGGTTAACGGGCAGGTAGAGCGAGGAACCTCGCTTGCTTTCCCGGAGTAGCGAGAAGCTTTTAAAAAGAAAAGAAATTTCAGCTCAGCTGGGAGATGGTGGGGAGACTGACGGAACCTGACACTCGTGCGTTGACGGTGTGAACAAAATTGCAAAGGAAACAAACATTTAATGCCTCCCTTCCCTGAATACTTGCGACGTCTGATTCTCTCCCACCTCACTCATTTAGCCTTCAAGGCGCCCCTTTTATTTCCTCCTTCAAGCGAGGTTATTCGTGTCCGTGTGGATGCCCCACTCCTGACCTTGCCTGTTTTTACATCTCTTTCTCTGCCTTTTTCTTCGTCCTTTTTTTAAAGATTAAAACCCTACACAGGAATAGCTGGAGGGTCGATCTCCACCCACGGTGCGTCTATATAATGTTCGGCATAATTATACTCAGTGGAAATAGCTGCAACCCAGTACACTATCTTTTAATATGAAACTGGTTCCACTTGCGTGACCACACTCCACCAGGTGAATAAAACATTGTTTAAGTGCTTCTGGAGGACAACAATAATGAGAATGAGACCTTATTATCTTGTGTTGGCCTTTCTCAGAACTGTAGCTTTAAAAAAATGGATATATTCTCCTGGAGATTAGAAGAATTAATAGTGAATGACAAATGCATAATGAATTGGCTTGAAATGTTTCTTTTAGAGTTCAGTGTGTTTTAATTCTCAGATAAATTTTCATAAAATATTACCTTTTAAGTTCTTAATTTGATTATATTGTTTTTAGTATCTGATCTTTAGTGGCTTTGCACTTCATAATCTAATTCTAAATAATGGATGAAATGTGTGAGCTTGTTCTAAATGAAATGGTGGCAAATGCTTACTGAATGCATTAGAGCAGAGAGGAACGAGTGCTGAGTGTACAGTACTTATGACAGGGTGTTAACTTGTCCAAGAAACATATCTGTAGAATTTGTTTAATCTTGAATTGGACATTATAATTAGATATTATAACCAAACTAGCAATTTCAAAAGTGTTAGAATACAAATCCCATAATCTTTGATTATTAACTGCACTGTCTTAGGTTTATTGGAGTTATAATTCAAAATACCTGGAAGGGAATTGATGGATTGCTTCTCCCTAGTTTTCCTAGGAATTGTGCTATAAATTATATCAACTGCTCTTTCATCTTCATTCAGAATGACAGTATATTTATTGTTTCAATCTGAAATACCAGGTTGAATATTTTTCTAGGTAGCAAATACATCACAAAAAAAATTGTTAAGAGAGTTAGATGTGCCTTATATGTTTCATGTAAAGAGAAAGCTTCAGAGGCTACAGCTGTATATTTTTTATCTCAATTTTTTAGTTTACAATTGTAAGGGAGGAAGTGCCTCTAGTCTCACAGGTGTTCCAAAAAAAAAAAAAGATACTTTTTACTTAAAAGTTTCTTCGATTTTTCCTTGAAATATCTGATATTATTGTTAAGGAAATGCATGAATGGAAGGAAAGAACTGTCTGAAAATATCTAAAATAAATTAAGGCTTTAAACACAAATAAATGTGTGTGTGTGTGTAAAAGGTGTATGTATGTATTGACAACCAAGGGGATTTGTTTCCTCTGTTCCTTTTTGTGTTTTGTACCTTTTCTTTCACTGAATGGGGAACAGTATGGCTTACTAATAATTTATCACTTCCTAGTTCTGTGTATTGTCTTGTCCTAAAAGAGAGAGAATATAGACAACTTCATGCTTACTATAATAACTATTCCTAGATAAATTGTTTCTCAGTAAAACTTCTTCCTAGAAAGAACTATGGAATATCCTTTACTGTCAAGGTTAATTCAAGACTGCCTTGACATAACATGCAAATTCGTTGTTTTCTGAACCTTGATTTATTGAATTTACCCAGTTACCTGGGGTTTACGGAACACACCGAACCATACACTAGCTGATCACATTTTAGCCTCATATATTGTACAAACCTAGTCATAGCTTATAAAATAAGAATTATGCACAGATTGTCCTGTATAAATAAATACCAATCTGGATATGATAGGCACTTTGCATATGTTTCTGTGTCTGTGTATCTTTTGTAAAAATATGTTTTATCAATATATATTTCTATTTTAATGCTGAAGGATTGAGAGAAATGAATGAGTATGTATGCAAAAGTATATGAAACTAGAAATGGAACACATGAGTCAGATCCAGAGTATTAGTTAAACTTAGTTCCAATTGAAATCAATATAACCTGCATTCAGTTGTAACAGTCAAACTTGTGCACAAGTTTTTGCATATTTCTATATTCATACAGAGTATGTGGCTTTTGAACTTACTGTTGCTCATGCTGATGATTCTAGAAGTCTATGTATGTAATTAGGTCTTTGTGAATTGATTGAATAATATGTGGTGCAGTTCATCGCTTTGCTTTTCATCATAGTCTTAAAGGGCTTGGTAGTGGAGTTTCAGCCTCCAAGGTCCTTTATTCTGTAAAAGTCTAAGTATTGGCTTTTGTTGTGATTCCCTCCTGTACTGTACTATAGGTAGACCTCCTCCTCAAAATGCTATAGTTGAGTATTCTGTTTGGTGTTCTGATCATTGAACTAAGTTGTGAGTGAGAAAGTTCTGATTTAAATTTAATCTCTCCTCTAAGCTTGCTCAAAGGCTTTGAGCAAGCCACTATTAATGTTCCTCTCCAATAGTATTGCAAAATACTGAGAAATGCACAATAAACATACTTAAGGATATTAAGATCTAGTGACACAGAGCTAATATATAATTCAGTTGAAGCAACCTTTTCATCTGATCCAAACTTTAACATGAAAATAACCCCATTGGTCTTCAGTTTGGTTTTCTTTCTGATCTTTAGGAGTGGAAACTTACAAAAATCTAGCGTAAAGAAGCCCAACTGAATTTGAAAAATGGCAGGCTTCCTAGACAATTTCCGTTGGCCTGAATGTGAATGTATTGATTGGAGTGAAAGAAGAAATACAGTTGCTTCTGTGGTAGCTGGGGTCTTGGTAAGTCATATGACATTACTTATGGCTTATTTTAAGTCCTTGTAGTATCATGACCCATATCTCACTTCTGTAAGAGCTTGTAGCATTCAACTAATTTAGATTAATTTTAATAATTCAGTTGTGTAACATGACATGATATTAATAGTGACATTGTATAATGTGACAAATATAACATTAGTTTTGATTAGTAAGAGTTACATATTTTTGTGGGGTTTTCTTTTTTTTACTTTTTGCACATAAAAGAGAAAAAGGAAAAAAACCCTTGGATTAATTTTAATTGTTTTCTGATTACTGAAGAAGCCCCCATAACTGCTGTAGCTGTAATCTTTTAGAAATAATAATGGATGGATGTTCAATTCTAATAATGAAGTCCGATGAGCCCTTGCTAATCACAAGATCCCTTAGTCAGGTCCTCATTGCTGTGCGAACTCATAAATTATTGTGTTAGTAATGTAATAAATAACATCTCTCAATTTATGTTTGTATGTATTCCTTTATTGGAACTTATAGTGGACATCATTTGGTCTCTTACAATGCAGTTCTCCACATATTTCCACAAAAATTGTGTTCACTAGGGAACAGATAGATAACAGTGTTCTGAACTATGTTCTTGTAAAGTTTCTGGAATAAAAATACTTAAAGCCAATCAAAAGCACTTTTTTAAATATCATGACCTTAGAACAAGTCCCAACTCAGTCATATCTATTTGAGAAATAACAATATTTATCGGCCAGGAAAGGATCCTGGGTGTTACCAAAAAAAAAAAAAAAAGTCTTGAAAATGGTATGAACTGCAAATTTTGGAGATGTTTGTTTTCTTTTGCAAACTAGAAACATCCCCTTCCCACAATACAACAGAATACTGAAAGAACATAGGCTTTATGGATAAATATATTTGTATTGATGGCTATTTGATATTATTCCAGACATATTTTATAAATGTTCCAGTATTACAGGTGGTCCTTGACTTATGACCATAGCTGGGACTGGAATTTCCATCGCTAAGCAATGTGATCACAAAGCAAGGCATCACATGACCACATTCCTTAGCAACGGCATTCCTGGCACTCCCTGTTGCAGTTGTTAGCCGAGGACCCACCCCAATCCAAGCCATTCCAGGCTTGGTCCCTCCCAGATCCGAGCCTCAGTGAGGTAGGGGACTGCCTCCAACTCCCACCACCCACCTATCTCCCGCCCCATCTCTGCCCTTTTGGTCACCGTGCACCCTGCCTTGTGGGGCAGCAAACAGCCCCAGAACTGTGTGGCTTTGGGGCTCCTTGCCACATTCTGGGAAGCCGCAGTCACCTTCGCCATCCTGCACTCCAGGTCTCCTGCCGCCCTGTGCTCCACCGCCCCAGCTGACCTTCGCCGTCTTCTTGCTCCCACTGCTGACGAGGCATGCCCAGCCTAGCTGCTGGGCTAGGCTGAGGCTGGGCTTCATGTTGCACTGCAGCTTGGGCTGGTTTTTGCAGCCCCAGAGCTGCAGCACCAAAAGGCCCCTTTGTGTGAGGCCGAGGCCAAGGCCCAGCCCCAGCTCAGGAGCGTGGTGCAAAGGGGCTTTTTGGCATGCTATGGCTCTGGAGCTGCAAAAAGTAGCCCCTGAGCCGCAGCACGAAGCCCAGCCCAGCAGTGTGGTGCAAAGGGGCTTCTTGTGATAATTTTTTGGGTAAAAGATTTTGATATGCTATTTTTCTGGTTTTATTCTGCATTGCTTCATGTATTTTACAGAAATGCAATATAAAAGTTAAGTACAACTACTTAATGACAACTCATGGTAGAAGGTTAAGAGATCCTTCTTTCCAAGTCATGGAGTCTGTTTGGCTCTCTTTTACAGTAGCTTTTATAATGAAATCTAATAGTATAGACTGCACATACCTTGTTCACATTACTGTTTCCAGCATATCATTGTTTTAATGACATTGGAAATGAATAACTTGTGACAATCTTATCTATTTGGCTTAGAAGCTTGGTTCAGGTTATGGAATTGAGAGGCTGGGGCTCATATGATTATGGTGCTTAATGAAGATGATATTGGGAAGAAACAGGTGAATGTGTGACCTTTTTAAAATAGTTTTCAGAATTAATTGATCAATTATATTTTTACAGTTTTTTACAGGTTGGTGGATAATGATAGATGCTGCAGTAGCTTATTCTAAGCCAGAAGAAATGAACCACGCATTCCACACTTGTGGAGTATTTTCCACTCTAGCTTTTTTCATGTAAGTCTGTATAAAGCATGGCAGGGGGCAGCACCTTGTTTACATTGGCTGATGTTGAAAAAACTAAGAAGGATTTGATCTGGTTAGGGTTAGGTTGGATGGGACACCATTAGGAAATCTCAAGGCTGTAGACCAGTCTAAAAACATCTTGGAAGAAAGCCATGGCAAATCCATTTCCAAATCTTGTCCAGAATACAATGTACATGTACTGTATCCTTGTAGTCACCAAGAATCATGTTTGAATCAAGAGAGATTTCACTGTATATATCTGTTCTCTATACTTCAATTGTTTTTTGAATTATTGTTTGTTGACTGCTACAAACAGCAAAATAAATTTCTAAGGGAGTTCTTTTATTTCTCATTTGTTCATTATTGCTCATATTTGGAAAGATTTTGATATGCTATTTTTCTGGTTTCTAATTTGCATAAAGATTTTCTGCTTTTTTTAAAAAAATCTTTTTAAAAACAAAGGTTTTTGTTTGCACTAAAGATTTCCATACCATCTTCAACTTCAGAGAACCATTCCTGCTCTATGGTTTTCCCATTTCAATATGTCTTTATGCTGGCTGTTATTAAAACTGATTACAACTTATTACTTTTCTCACTTCAAGGCACTGCTGTTCATTGTACTGGTCTGTGGCCACATCAGAAAAAAGATGCTTAGGCTTGTAAACTATCAGACAAATGTTATAATTACAGAAAATTGAACAAGAAAATAAATTAAATTAACTATTCCTGTTTTACGCACTGGTTATTGAGCTGTAATATTTTGGATTTGATATCTTTTCTGCTTTAACTTCTTTGGATTCAAAGGAAAGAAAGCTAAAATGGAGAAATGTAATCAAATGGATCTTCTTTCTGCTTTTTTCTATTTTTAAGATTTTTTTATCTGTGAATATGTTGCAGGATAAATGCTGTATCAAATGCTCAAGTGAGAGGAGATAGTTATGGTGATGGATGTTTAGGAAGAACAGGTAAGCAAACTTCTGTTTACATGAATCCTGATCTGAAAACTTGCTATTCAGGAGAAGGTGCAGCATGTCAAAACTTTCTATCCTTATTTCGACCGTAAGGCAAAACATTATTATGAAGAATAGATAGTCATGCACAAGTTTCTTCCTGCTTTTGAGGAAAAACACTGCTAATGTTGCTTTCTAAAAGCAATATTAATGCTTAGGGAAAATGTTAAATTTTCAGGCTAAACAAAGGAAGGAGTAAAAACTTATTTGACAATTTCAGGAAACACACTTGTTTTATCACAATTTTATGTTGCACCCTTCATGAATGTTGGACAGTGTATGTTTAGGGTCTAGTCCCATTTTACTTTTGCAGCAAATACTTGAATGATGCTCCCAAAGTTATCTAATTAACTTAATTGTGAAGGTTGAGGCACCCCTTGCTAAAATAGCCCTCTTTAAATTGCATGGTACTGACATTGCTAAATATTACCTAATTATTAAGACCAAATACTTTAAGATTACATTGATCTGGTTAATCTTGCACCATGTTGTACCTCAATTTCCTTGAATTTATTAGGAGCTATTGATCTGGCACTTAAAAATAGTATATTTTTCTGCAGATGTGTCCATTTTGTCACTGAAATCTTTAACACACAAAAATAAAGATTGGCCCAATAATTGTAAATCTTGTTTTAGGTGCTCGTGTCTGGCTCTTCATTGGCTTCATGTTGATGTTTGGCTCACTTATTGCTTCTATATGGATCCTTTTTGGAGCATATGTTACCCAAAGTAAGAATCCCTTCTTACTATTTTTTTCATTAAGGGGAGAAAAACACTCTTAAAAAGAATTAGTGTTTTAAATCAGTCAAATGCATGTTAATTGTGTGTTTTGAAATTATTTAACATAGAGTAGTAAATTCTAACCCAGGCTGCTTTACTGTTAAAAATGTCCAATATAGTATAGTGTACAGAACACAAAAGTACAATATAAAAATAAAAGGAGATGGATGGTTACAATATAGCTTAAATAAAGGTAATTTCAGAATATTTAAAGTATTGATAGATTCTAAAAATATGTGCACTGAAACATAACCATCAAATCAAACTGATTTTTTTTTCAATTTATCAAGCATAGTACATTAATAACACATCACATGAGCTGAGGAAGTAGAGGGCTTTGCTTGGTATATGTTTTCCTGAAGATGTGCGCTTCAGGGTGGAGGAAAGGGTCTCTTAATAGGTCTGAACAAGGCTGTGTAAGAAAACTGTGCTTTCCTTCAGTTTATTTATTCATCACATTTATATAGCCGCCCATCACAAATGTGGCTCTGGGCGGCAGTTGATAGCAATGTCTCTGCAAGTGAAACTCTGCACAGAGACTGGAGAAAGCAAAGACGTTTCTGCTGATCTAACCTTAACTGAATTGAATTATACGGTACTCAGCTCAGGAATATAAATATTAGGACTGCCTAGCACTTTGGATCTGAAGGCAGAAAGATGTTTCAGAGCATGTGGGATGGGAATGGAGCCCTTAAGCCAGTTATATCTTTTCCTGGGATGCATCTCTCAGGTGCAGCCACGGTATCCTGGGAAGAGATGCAGAGGGACTCTATGCTTGCACCTCCACATACCCCACAGCACTGAACAGCCCACTAAATATACTACCTTCTGTGGAGGTTTTGAATGTTAAATAGACAGTGCTTTTGCTTAACTAATTTAGTGCTTTTATCATGAACACATTGGCAATTTACAGAGTAGAAATGGACTTCCTTATAAGAAGTCAGGACATGCTCCTCATTTCCTTTCCTATGTAGTGAGCATAAATTGTAAACTCTTTTCACAAACATACTGAATCACAAACTAGCCACTAGCCAACTATTTTAGCCTATCGTGCTGACTAGTTCAGAATTTAATGTATTGTGTGAACCCAGAAGGTTAAGTTAAATACATTGTAATTATGGTACAGCGGTACCTCGGGATACGAACGCTTCTACTAACGAACTTTTCGGGTTACGACCAGCTCCGGCTGCAAAAATTTACCTCGATGTGC